AGCACAGCCCAGAGCAGCTGTGACTTGGTGGTGGCAGCAGCAGGGGCCAGGTTCCTCTTCCCTGTCTGCTCCCCAAGGACAGTGCCAGCAGCCACAGGTAAGCAGGGGACATGGGGGAGGGTGAGTCATGAGGGCCAGGGGGGAGGTGGGAGGGAGAAGGGGGGAGCCCCAGGGTTAGAGGGAGCCCCAGGGGTGGAGGAGCAGGGTGGAACCTGGAGGGGCAGGGGGAGAGCCCAGAACAGGAGGGGAGGGGAGCAGGGGAGATTCGTACATCTCAGTCCTCAAGGCCCTGCTTGCCTGAAAGTGTGACTGCTCCAAACTCGACCTAGCACTAACTAACACTAATTACCACTTTGTGAAGCCTCAGTGCAATGTGTAACAAGGCCCAAACAGAGGTTAGCTATGCTCTATCTAACTACCAAAGACATTTCACAGGGGTGGGGGAAAAAGGGGTTGGCACGTATGACCCCTTTAACTTCACTCATAGGGGTCATCCATACTGGTAAAATATTCCAAGAACTCCAGCTGTAACACCTTCCTTTCTCCGTCATCAAACTGTCTCTGCAGAGTCCCATTATAGTAACTTGCCCCTCCTACTGCAGTTGTCTACTGCTTGCTAATGAGTACTTAATTATATAGAGACTGAAGCACTGCTCTCCTGATTTGGGCATAAAGCTGAGTCTCTGAATCAGAAGAATAATGCTTTGTAAGAGTGAAAACTAAACACAGTGTGACAATGTGGAAACTGAAACTCTTAAAAAGGGGCTATTGAGGCAGTAGCAATTGTGATTAGGATGAGATTCAAAATGTCCCCAGTCTCTGTGCTATAGATAATTCACTGTTTGAATATACAGCACCGTAATCCACCTGGGTAACCTCTGAGTAAAGATGGTCTCCCCTTGGACCTTTTATCAGAGGCCACATATAGACTTTCTTAAGGCAGTTCCCCTGATGTAGCATGAAGACTTAATAAAAAGGTAGGCCAAGGTATAGATTGTAGGTAAAAAAACCTGATCCCATCTTGGTCAGAACTATAGGATGAACTGCTGCTTTATCTGTATTAAACATAACCTATATAGGTTTCTGTCCCAGCTGAAATGGGAAATGTAATTGGGGTAGGGTGTTAGGGTAGCTTGTCATATTTTATGCTTTAAAATTGCACCTGCTTATAGAGTGGTGAATTATAGCATTGTTTAAACTTTTTAAATTTAGCCTTATTTAATTATTGCTTAAGTTTTGTATTATCTGAACTTTTTATTTTGCTTATCAGCTGGCCTTTGTGTTTTTGTAGAGCTCATAGTGCTCATTATATTATTGTATCTTTTCTTTTTTATCACTGTGAGAAGTTCTTCTAAAATAACATAGCAATGGCTTTGTTACCAGATCACATTAACTGAACTTGGCACTAATGGGCTGAATCAGAGGGATGAAATGATTGGATATGTTAATGAAAGGTGATAAGGGAAACCAATGGAGAATGCTCAGAGTAAGATACCAGAAAAGACGAAATTAAGAGGTGTGCTCATGATAGGCCTGTTGAACAAAGGAATATCCTGACAGGATAAAATATGGACAGTATGCTGATAGCAGAGAGATCAATCGAAAAGCAAAGAATCATCATAGGAATGAAGTTAAAGAAAAGCATAAAAGGGGGCAGAAAGAAAGTTACGTGTGTCATTGTCATAAATCCAGCCTTCAACACCTGTCTGACTGTCCCAGCCAACAACACAGCCTTTGCTTTCAGGAACCAATTGGCCATCTCTTCTGTTGAGCAAATTAATATCTGGGATTGGGTGAGATTATTATACTGAATGTTTTTCTCTCACTGAATATAGAAACTGCTAAGATAATATTTGTTGTACTAATAAAGTTAGACTTTGATTTTAGGACACTGAGTTGTCTGTGTTCATATTTTACATTCCATTTAAGGGTTAATTGTTCTTTAAAGATCCCTAAACACTGTCTGGTGAGCAGTGGTGCTAATATAAGGGATTTTTTTTGTTTCATTTGTTCAACACTTGGCACAAAAAAGGACTGGTCCAGGACTGCAGGCCCTTGGTGCTACTTCAAAGCAAATAAGAAAAATTAATACCATCCATCACTATACTACCTGAAACCTGGCCTCCAGCTGACAACTTGTTAACACTCACTTGCAGAAGTAATACCTATTAAGAATTCCACTTTAACTGAAAAGTAATGCAAAGGATACTCCTCTACAATTTAAAAGGAGTTTCCATGAACCAGATTCAAATTCCACAGCACAGTTGAGAGATGTATATTCAATACCTTTGTTGCGATGCATTTTACAACAGGAAAGGAGAAAAGAAGCTTGAATAGAGTGGTAATGGCATAAATATACTTTTCTCCTGGGGAATACACTTGTAATGTCCAAGATTAACTGGGGGTTGATGTACAGCCAATATGAAGCCCTTTACCCACAAAAATCCTCAGGGAGAATGTTAAGCCAGCTTTCCAATGGCTTTGCCCTGCTTTTGATACAGTCCAATGTCTTGTCTATGGCTCTCTGAATCCACTAAGGGCTTTGCACTTGTCCTTATTGAACCTCATGAGATTTTTTTTGGTCCAATCCTCCAATTTGTCTAGGTATCTCTGAATCCTAGCCTTACCCTCCAGCATATCTATTACTCCCCCCAGCTTGATGTCATCTACAGACTTGCTGAGGGTGCACTCCATCCCATCTTCCAGGTCACTGATGAAGATATTGAACAAAACCAGCCTCAGGACTGACCCCTGGGGCACTCTGCTTGATTTAAATATTTATTTATTTATTTATGTAGTGAATGCAAATCTGTGAAGCCAAGCAATAGCCTCATTGTTAGGTGAATTCAAAGTTATTGATCCACCTCTTAGTCTGTAGAGGGGACAATATACAACATTGTTTGGGTCTCTCCACAAGTGCATGATGGGTTAGCACTGAGGTCTCAGCGGTGAAATTTTGCTGCGCAGGGACCTTGGTCTGTCCTAAACCTGTTGGTACCTTGACCCATCCTAAACTCCACTTGATACCAAATGCTCACTAGCCATCAAGCCATTGACTACTACCCTCTGAGCCCAACAATCCAGCCAGTTTTCTGTCCACCTTACAGTCCACACATCCAACCCATACTTTCTTAACTTGCTTGCAAGAATGTTGTGGGAGACTGCATCAAAAGCAGGGCAAAGCCATTGCAAAGCTAGGCATTAACAGCCAGGAACAGCCATCAGCCCCAATACCCTGCTTGGATGGTCTGATTGTTAAAATGACGAAAGTCTGCAAGCAGATGAGACGACCTTTTGGATTTTTTATTTATATTACAATCTATAGTATTACAAGATTTTTAAAATTTGTATTACAATCTATAGTTTCTTTCTTTCTTTCTTTCTTTACTTAAATGCAATGAACAGATGACAGAATGTGCAAGTTTCCAACATACTGTTTATAATTTAGTAAAATGTTTATAATTTGCAGGAGTAAATGTGAAATGCTAAACACAATTGCTTTCCTAATTTCCTTGTAAGCCAGCTGTCAGGAAATTCCTATTAGCGAAGAAATCACAGACTTTTAAAAGCATCTCTGGAATGTATCTGTAGGGTACTGGAGAATGTATAGGATATATAGTTGTGGGTAAATTTCAAACCATGTGAATGCATGACTCATCATTACATCTTCCCTGAGCCTCAACAGCATGCTGAATAACGTAAGATGTCTACAAAACTCCTTTTATTTACATTGCTTTGAGTCAATTGCATTGACATTTAATATATTGGCCCTTTGCCAGCAACACCAAACTACAGAGATTGCTATTTATTGGGCAAATGTTTATCAGTATTTTACATTTGTTTGTTGGGAAGCAAAAGGAAAATGAAAAATGCTAACAGGGTGCTGTTAGTGAAGATTTCTTCACTAATCTTGGAACTGCCTGACTCTGCAAATATATATATGCAAGTGTCTGACTCATGCAGGCTCCGGAAAGTTTGTGGCTGCATTGGAGGTCTCCCTATCCAGGGAAAGGGGTAAAGCAAAGAGATCCCAATTCTTTCTGCTCCATACCAGAGAACTGTGGAGCTGCTGGGAAGGAAGATGGGGGTGTGTAATACCATTTTCTACAACTCTACACACATTAAACAGGGCTGCAATTTAACTCCATAGTTACAAACTCAGGAATATACTGGAAACACAATGGTCATCAACAAGTGTGCAGTTTAAGGATGGCATGATGCCACAGGAAGATAAGTTACTGAATCAGCCTCCTCCTCCTGGTAACTCAGTTCAAATCAGATGAATTGGTCACAAATTAAACCAGTTAATAAACCCAATCTAGAATTCACACCGTGCTGCTGCTCACGGCAGACAATAGTACCAAAACTGAGCAGGGAGAATGGTACAAAGAGGGCACTTGCAGGCACAGGCCCAGGTGAATAACTAACTCCTGGTATTCGGTGGGGGTTTAGGGTTGCCTTCCTATGTTCTGGGCAGAAAGGAAAAGCCAACTTGATGCCTATGGTGGGGTTTGAGACTTACACAGAGGACCCAGCAGCTACCCTCGTTCGGCTCCACTGCTACCAGCCATGGACACGGGGCTAGTGAAGCCAAAGCTTGAGGCAACCACCCATGCAGCACCGATCCAGATGGCAGGAGACTGGTGACAGTGCAAATCCTGTCCACACTGCCTCTGCCAGGGTGGGGGCAGCGGGGTTGGCGTTGCCAGGTGGAGCCGGGAGCCTCTTCACAGGAGCCCAGGGAGTACTATGAGGGCCAGCATGACTTCCCTTATCTGCACTGAGCTGGCACCAAGGAGCTGCAGTCCTGGCCCAGTTCCCTGTTGTGCCAGGCGCTGCCGTGGCATGTCCAAGGGAGGACGGCACGGGGGCTGGGGAGGGGGCTCCCGTCTCCCCGGGGCAGGGGCAGGGGCTGGGAGTGGGGCTGCCTTGGGGGCCGGGGGCCCTGGCGTGGAGGGTTATTGCAGAGAGGGGGATTGGGAAGGTGGGCCGGCGGGTACCTGAAGCGCTCCTGCCCCGCCGTGTCCCACAGCTGCAGCTTGACCCTCTTGCCGGGCTCGATCTCCACGAGGCGGGAGAAGAAGTCCACCCCCACGGTGGGGTCGCAGTGCAGCGGCCCGGGGAAGCGGCCCTCGGTGAAGCGGTGCAGCAGGCACGACTTGCCCACGGTGGAGTCGCCCAGCACGATCAGCCGGAACTGGTAGATCCAGATGGCCGCGTCCATGGCGGCCCCGCGGCTCCTCCCCGGCCCGGCCCGGCCCGGCCCCGCGCCGCGG